AACAACAACATTAAACCACAAGACCCAAGTCCAAAACACCATAATGGTCGAGTTAGAAACCGGGATCACTATACTTATACACCATTTGAAGAGTGTGGGATTCCCTTTCTATAAAATTTCAATTTCTTATATAATTTTATTTAGTTGAATAAGAAAGTACGTAAAATAGAATTTTAAGCTCAATATAAATTTTTTGCTTTCTATTTGAATAAGTCATTTAATATATATATATAAAATATAGTATCTAATTTATTAAAATTCATATTTCACACATTTTATACACCTTTTACATATTTTAATATAATTTTTATGAACATACCAATATTAACCACTACCCAAATGGCCCATGATAAATATGGATGAAATTACTCATAAAATTTAGCCCTTGTTTGGGAAGTGATTTTTTTTTATTTTTTGACTAAAATATGAATCTGTGACTTTTTAAAAAAAAAAATAATTTTTTTTGACTTTTTAAATAAAATAGTCACTTGCTAACTCAATTCCATTTCTAAATTTCAAAAACAAAAATGTTATGAACCTACCCTTGTCAACCCATAATTTACCCTGAATGTGTTTGTATGGTGGAGATTAAATTGATGAAGTGTGGGGTTCATGAGTAAAAGGAATTTGAACCAATAATTCATTTTTCTGAGTAAATTCTAGATTGATAAGGGTGAGTTTGTAGTATTGTTTCAAAAATCAAAATCTATTTATCTTTTATTAAAAAAACGAAAGCAATCCTAAAGACCTTTGTTAGTATTAAAAAATTGTATAAAAAATGTGTTAAAGTGAAAATATAATGGAATTTCTTAGACCTTTGTTAGTATTAAAAAATTGTATAAAAAATGTGTTAAAGTGAAAATATAATGGAATTTCTTAGAAATACTATTTAAAAAAAACAAACAAACAAACAAACAAACAAAGGGACAATTTTTTATTTTTAATAATGCAGCCAAAAAGTAAATCAAAGCTTTGTTGGCCCAAAACGGCACCTCATCCCTTATTGGTGTGTCCAACAAGTCAATGGTAAATAAGTAAATTTCAAAATTCCTAAATTAAACCAAAACAAGATACCATAAATAAAAGGACTAATTGGTTTAGAAAAAAACATCCAAAACTAAATGAAGCAACATTTTCTGAAATGGAAATTTAAAAAAAAAATTCCAAATAAGAATATATAAAAAAAAATTATTTTAAAAAAATTGAATTCCAATATTTATTGGAAGCACAGTGCATAACCATGTATGCATTCTCTCCTCGTTCACAAAGCTCTCGGTCTAATTATTGCATGTCCAATAACCCAGTCAGACTCATTTCAGTCCCTAAGCCCACCCCAACTCTCTCTCTCTCTCTCTCTCTCTCTCTCTCTCTCTCTCTCTCAAACGAAAAAACCCCACCACCCCCAATGTATTCAAATTAGTCAATTTTTTACTTTTTTTTTTGTTGTTTTTTTTTCCCTCCTATTCCTCACTAACATGTGTCTGTGGAGATTATGGTTGTGGGGTTCCTTTATCATTTCTGCTCTCGAACTCACACCAATGATGCTCTTTTCAAACCCTAACAATGGCGAACCAAATGTTGACCTTTACTCCTTTAACAATGGTGACACCAACGATGCTCACGGAAGCCATCGTCTCAGCGAAGAAATCAACAGCACATGTTCTACTCCCTACGTCTCCGCACCTTCAAGCTGCCCCACCGTCGGCTACTTCTTCAGTGCTTCTGCAAGTCCTATGCACTACGTGTTATCCACCGCTCCTAGGTTTGGGTAACCCCCCGAAATAATCCAACATAAATTAATTACGTCGACCAACATCCACTAGATAATGATAATAATCCTCCCGTCTTTACATGGTTAATAAATGAGTTTATACAAAAGTTTTACATGCGAATTATACATTCAATGGTAAGAAAAACACATGAATCTATAGCATGTGAAGCATCTAGTCTCAAAATAAATAAAATGCCCTTAAGGGCTTACATCTTCCAAGGCATTGAGCCCGGCTACACAAAAAATGGTTCCACGAACCCATACACTTTAAGCCCTTGGCTAACAAGTAAATTTACAACAAAAATAGAGTCCTCTACTCTTCACAAAATATGTCCACGCCCTCAATTTTGCGGGATCACCACATCTTTTCCTGCACCAAAATCCCATAGGGGTGAGCATAAAATCCAGTAGAGAAACCTTACAAAGTATATACAGTTATGCAAACCTCCAATATTAAATGCAAATGCCATGTAATGCCATTATAATGAAAAATTTCATTTCATGCACTTCTTTGAAAATCACCACGTTTTCAATAACGTTTTGCAATCTCATCAATTTCAAATTTCCAATTTTAATCATTAGGGGCGGTAAATACGACTCAGGTAATCCCAAGTTGGTGTCTGCAAGTAGGCTCAACTAGCACTACCAATACCCTATTTTACCGGTTACTAACCGGAAAGGAAGTGGTACCTCATCCACTCATGTTTTCGCTCTTTCACCCCAGACATTCAGGTCAACTTATCAATTCCATCTACACCTCCTATCTGGACTTACCCACATATTTACCCCAAAACATTTCAACATTTTCATTTCACATTATTCCTTTCCCAAGTAAATGATTTCGAATCTCAACTCAACACTTGCAACAATGGATTCTAAAAATGTCTAAACAACATGCCAAAGCCAAATAAAATTTTGCAAAAAAATCAATTGAATGAGCATGCAATGCCATAATTGTTCATTTTCAACATAATATCAAAATATACAAAAATGATCGAATTACCCTTTTTCTCCTTACAATGCTATTCCACAAATAGCCCAAGGTTTGCGACCAATCATCACTAATACAACAACATGTCCACAATGCGTGCACTTCCATCATTTCATCATTTCAAACGATTGCAAAAATTTACAAAACACCCTCCAATTCTCAATAATGTTCATGAGTAGAGAAATCCAACATCATTATATATATGCATTTATAATTAAACAAGGGAAAAACCTTCACTTTCTTTACTTATCATGGCACAACAACATGAATATATATATATATAATCACCCATAAAACTCTCCTCTTCCTTTATTCAAGAAACCCCCACAAATCATTGGTTTTTTTTCTTTACAAACAACACACACACACCAAATACATGAGAGGGACCCTCAAGGATACATCCTTCTCATATTTAAAACAATTTCAACCTTCAAGATGCTACCTTAAGTAGATTTAAGATGTTTGAAACTCTTTTTTTTTTTTAAATCTCCACATTTTAAGCCATAAAATCAAAACTAACATATTAGCTTCAAGAGAACCTTCAAAATCATCATCAGAAATGCAAAACATGTATATATAACTCAATAAGTCCGTACCTCAATGTTTGATGATGAAAGAGATGAAACCCTAGAGTCAAGATAGAAGATTTTTCGATTTCCACTACACCAAAAGGAGCCCTAGCTTTGATCTTCAAGATTAGTGAGAGATGATGACTCCAAGCCCAAAGGATCACAAGAAATCAAAGATTTTGAGTGCTTGATGAGGGTTTTTAGAGAGAAGGAAGAGTAAAAATGTTTTTAGAGAGAGAGACGTAGAAAACAAAGTGATACATTCAGCCCTAAAAGATTAAAAAAAATAGGGTTTTCGGACTGCCCAGCGTCCCGCACATGCGGCCTTCCCTTGTCGCACCTCCTCTAGCACCTGCATATATTGCAGTGTGCTAAGCCAAACAACCCCTGAATTCTACACATGCAGCCTCACCTCCCACACGTGCTAGCCCAGAATTTTTCTCTACCCAATTCTAGGCACTTCAGACCTAACCTCGTGCTCTCCAGAACAGGCAAAAATCAACACCGAACAAACGAGAATAAGAGTTTATATGAGAACAAATTTTCAGACACCACAAACCCAAAATCAAATAAAGGAGAACAGAGCAAAAATACACCTAGTTGTCACAGTTTAATTCTTTCTTGTCAACTAAGTCTGGCTCGTTCGAGTTTGAATTTTCTTCTGGGTTCTCACTAAGCGGTTCAATAGGTAATTGATTGATGAGTTCGGCCGACGAGTTATTCTTGAACAGTCAGATCCGACCGATGTCACCACTACGAACAGCACAGTTCCAATGACAAGAACACGAAGAAAATGAGCGCTCTCATCATCATCATCATCATCATCATCATCATCGCATTCTGGAGTTAGAAGATTCTTAGTACAAAGAAGCTGAAACTCCGTCGATCGAGACAACATTGTCAGGCTCTACTTCGTCTTCAAGGTCTTCATCGTCCGGAAGGAACTCGAAGAAGTGGATATTCTTCAAGAATCTATTGTACAAAAGCAAAAACGAAGGTAGAGGCAACAAAAAGAAGTTCTGGTCATCGATGACGTTCACTTGCTCATCATCTTCAAGGGACGGGAAGGAAAAGAATCGCAAGGAAACGGAAACGAAAATGCAAAAGTAAAAGCAAAAGCGAAGCAAACAAGTTCTCCTAAAAAAACTGATCGCCGGAAAACCAGCGAACGAAGTCGAAAAGCGTAGGGTTCTGCCGTCGGCTCACGAGTTGCATTACATTGCGAATAGAGCACAAGTGGAGGAGATGAAGAAGAAGACCTTCTTGCCCTACCGGCAAGGACTACTTGGATGTCTAGGGATTAACGTTTGCATTTTCGAGTAATTTTGTTTGTTACTGTACTCTAGGTTCTAATTTAAGCTCCTGTATAGTAGAGACAGAAGCCTTTGTTCCAATCACCATTGATGATTTTGCTTCTTTAGCTATGAAGATATTATTGGGTTCTTAATCTTTCCAAATTACCTCAGAGTCTCTCTCTTTAGTTAAAGTTATGTAATATTTTATTATAAAGTAAATTATTAAATTAAGTTTGTATAAGATTGCTATTCATCCTAAAAGTATTCCAATTTGTGTGTGTAGCTTTATTCTTTTGAAAAATTACACTGCACCCCTGAGGTTTCAATTCCAATTATAGTTTTTCCCATTCTGTTAAGTAACCTAACGGTTCTAAATGACGCTAGAGAAGAAACAAGAGGAAGCACACATGAAATTCAAAGTTGAGCTCGCGAACTCCTGGGTCAGTGAAGGAACTCGAAGAAGTGGATATTCTTCAAGAATCTATTGTACAAAAGCAAAAACGAAGGTAGAGGCAACAAAAAGAAGTTCTGGTCATCGATCACGTTCACTTGCTCATCATCTTCAAGGGACGAGAAGGAAAAAAATCGCAAGGAAACGGAAACGGAAATGCAAAAGTAAAAGCAAAAGCAAAGCAAACAAGTTATCCTAAAAAAACTGATCGCCGAAAAACCAGCGAACGAAGTCGAAAAGCGTAGGGTTCTGCTGTCGGCTCACGAGTTGCATTACATTGCGAATAGAGCACAAGTGGAGGAGATGAAGAAGAAGACCTTCTTGCCCTACCGGCAAGGACTACTTGGATGTCTAGGGATTAGCGTTTGCATTTTCTAGTAATTTTATTTGTTACTGTACTCTAGGTTCTAATTTAAGCTCCTGTATAGTAGAGACAGAAGCCTTTGTTCCAATCACCATTAATGATTTTGCTTCTTTAGCTATGAAGATATTATTAGGTTCTTAATCTTTCCAAATTACCTCAGAGTCTCTCTCTTTAGTTAAAGTTATGTAATATTTTATTATAAAGTAAATTATTAAATTAAGTTTGTATAAGATTGCTATTCATCCTAAAAGTATTCCAATTTGTGTGTGTAGCTTTATTCTTTTGAAAAATTACACTGCACCCCTGAGGTTTCAATTCCAATTATAGTTTTTCCCATTCTGTTAAGTAACCTAACGGTTCTAAATGATGCTAGAGAAGAAACAAGAGGAAGCACACATGAAATTCAAAGTTGAGCTCGCGAACTCCTGGGTCAGTGGGTAGTTGCAACACAAGCTCATCAATGGAGTTACATGGTCTAATTGAGGGTGGTAATGTAATCTAAACTGGTGGACTCAAATAATGAAGACTTTTGGATGATTTGGTAATGTAATTAGTACATTAAATTAAAGTTTCTATGAATGCTCTGTTTCACGATGGGACACCAATGACATTGAATAAACCAATCACTAGTGGTTTTTTCTTAGGTAAAAGTGTTTGATAATTTGTCTACAAGTATTGATGGATGAGAGACAGTGGCTGTGATGATGGGGTGGTGGACTGTGACAATTGATAATCGTTGGTTGGCTGATGGTGGGTGGTGAAATGTAGCAATAATGGTTAACATGGTTAGGTTGGCTAAGGGAGAGAAGAGGCTAATATGGTACTTTCATAAATCTATTGAAAGGACATTAAGGTCCTTTTATATTTTTTTGTTACTTTCGTTAAGAGATACGGGGGTGCAATGTAACTTCCAGACTGATGGAGGTATCTGTTTTAAAATCAAACCTCAAGGGAGTGTCAGTGTAATTTACCCTTGAAATTACTTGTCACTTGCTAAAATTTTTATTTGAAATTACTTGATAGAAAATGTTACATTTAAATTTTTTTAAATTTTATAACCCTAAGACAAAAGTGAGCGGTCTCATATGTATTTATGAATGTGAACCCATTGCTCTTACTTGAAAAGAGGTAAGAAATAAGATTATGTATAGGATTGCTTTTACTTAACAAGTGTAATTTGTCTTGTTCTTTAGAAAATTTTCTTTCATTGCAGGTGCTTTGCCAGGGACCAAAGTTTCCAACTCTGTAAACCCAATACAATGTGACTTTAGCGAGTGGTGATAGGGACATTGTAGCACACAAGACCTTGCCGCTAAGAGTATCAGAAACCTCATCTTCAAAGCAATCTGATGATGAAGGATTAATCTCACCACATGAGTCCCATTTTCAATTCAACTTTCCAAATTCTAAAACCAAATCTCAACCCTTCCTTCCATATCATGCTAGTACAAGCAAACAAGGTGAAAATCATCCAACAATGTCCAAGTCATCAAGCAAAAATAAGACCTTAAGCGATGATCATAATATCTCATCCGCAGAATTTTTTGAGGTCAATCTTGTGATGAGAATGCTGCTGCAACTGAGCTGGGAAATGGTGAAAGAAATAACAGGTGGATTCACAAGAATGACATGTTTTGAAGAGAATGAGAATTTTAAGACATATTGTAGGTATTTGAATGACCATCAGTCCCAAGTTTTGGTAAGAAGATTCATTGGGCAGTTGGATTGTGTTCTTAAAGCAGAAAAGAAAGCAGCTTTGTCTATGCATCATAAGAATATATTGGGGTTGAGTGGTTACTACAAGGGCAAAAATGGTACAGTTCTTATCTACCCTTTTACCCGAAGATGGACACTGGATATATTTCTCCATGTTAAGTTTGTTGATGACTTGGTTCATCTTTTTATGAATATCATATCAAACGATCTTAACAAATTATTATATCAACTTTGCTACGTGCATAGAATTAATGCATAGAAGTCACTTGTGTCTCTTTTCTATGTGCTAATTTTGTGCACATATCCTTGTCTATGTTCTATACATCCTTGTCTCTTTTCTGTGCACGTTCTCCTATGAATCTATTTTGTGAACTAATTTTGTGCATGTACTATTATTGTCCCTACTCTGTGCACCAATTATGTGAATCTAGTTTTGTTCACTAGTCCATTCACATATGCACAAAACAAAGACAATGATGTTGATGCAAAGAAACAGAGAATACGTGAGTCCCACATACCCTTGTCTTTGTTTGCACTAATTTTGTGCATATACCCTTAATTCTTGTGCATTAGTCCGTGCACCAATTATGTGCACCTAGGCTTGTTGTTCTCATATTAAGTTGTATTCCTATCGCAATCAAAGCATTCTAGCATGAAAGAAAAACATTCTCTGTTGATTTTTGTCTAGAGATCATCCATCATGTGTACTTACTGATCTTTTCTTAAACAGACTCAAAGGGAAAACAAAGGACCAAAATGACATTTCAAGAGAAAATAAAGATAGCAATAGGAATTGGTGAATGTGTTCACTACATACATGAAGAATGTCCTCGAGGCCCCGTTGTTCATGGTGACTTAAGGCTGTGCAACATTTTTCTGAATTTTGACTTAGAGCCACAAGTAAAAATTGTTAAAATTTCAAACACCTAGTGCAAAAAACAGAGAAAAATAAAAACATAAGAAAACTATCATGGGTACAATTGTTTATTAGTTCAAAATCCAAGGCCTCTCATAGTCTCATTTCATTTGTTTTTTTCTTTTCCTCACCTTTTTGTCTGTGTGTGTGTGGTTGTAATAGATCATTGGCTTTAGTATTGCTACATGGTTGCATCTAAAACAAGGGTTACCAATTTCTAGTAACAGGTTTGCATTTATACCAATTCAAGTAAATTTTTGAAATTTCATTTAACATAACACCGAGTAAAAGAACAAAAAACCAATAATAATACTGAGTTTTTAATGTGAAATTTCACTGTATGTTAAAAAGGTTCTGGCACACAGATCCTTCAGACCTTGAATCATTGGCTTTACTAAAATCCGATATCATTCACTTTGGAATTTTGCTCCTAAGGCTCTTTTGCAGAAGATCTGCTCCACGGGATGACAAAATTTTTGTAGATTGGGTTAGTCGACATTTTTTTTTTTTAATTACAGTTCTCATTTCTATACTGCAATTAAAAGTTTGTTCTTAAAATACTTACTGTTATCGTAGGCTCGACTATTGTTGCTACAAAGAGCATTCCATAAGTTGCTGGACGAAGACATGGAAAACCTGGACGTGTATGGAATATTTAGGGTGATGTGTGTTGCAGCTCAGTGCATAAATTCTAAGCCTATTTCATGATCTAGTATGAGTGAGGTGATGTATTATAGATAAAAAAAAATATTTGGTACTATTTAGGGCTACAAACGAGTTGAATGGTTCATTAGCAGTTCAAATTCAGCTCGTTTTAGATCAGCTCATTTCAAAATATACAAGCTTAAGCTAAAATTTTAAACTCATTTATTTAGTAATTGAGTCAAGCTTGAGTAGGCTTGAATACCCTAAAACTCAACTCATTTGTAGCTATACTACTCCTGCTAGGCCTTTCTAGTTTCATTATGGCTTACTATATCAGTTTCATGTACTTGCAAATAATTTCAATTCTCAAGGGAGAAACTTCATGTGCTATGCAATTATCCCCTTCATCAGAAGGCAGCCCAAATATAAACTTTAGTGGCTCATCAATTGGTAGACTTGTGTGCAATTTAATCTCAGAGTTGTCACTTTCAAAATAGCTTAGGTGGTACCCAAAAAAAATGTGCAGAAAAAAAATTTAAAAATAAGGAAATGTAGATGTATAGAAGAAGGGAATATCTTTGGGATCTCTCCTAATTATTTTTTTAACTAGCTAGCCAGATATTTGCTTTCTTTGAAACAGTACTGGTTAGACAATTTTCTATGGCAGTAAACTACTATGTTTGTTGACATGTCAGGAAAATCTTCATATCATCATCTTGTTCTCCTCTTCTTCTTCGTCATGAATATATATAAATACTAGTTGTGCTTCATATTCGGAAAAATTACTCAGAATTTAAATATTTGAAAAGGACTTATTTTATATATGATTCACAATACGCTAAGTTTAAATCTACACTCTATACTTCACTTTTATAGTGAAATTATGATTGAGTTTTCATGCTACCTAGAATTATTGTATGAGCACTGCACATGAAAGATGAAGTCTGGCTTGACTTGGTATACTATTACAATTTTAAATTAGCTTTTTTTGTTCTATGTGTATGTGTTATGATGGAACCAGAAATTAAGAAACAATAAACAACCAAACGAAAACAGGAGCATTCAAAGGATCTGTGTGGTTAATCTTAAAATCCTGAAATAACCCAATATACTTAAGATTCGAACCTTGTCAAACTTGATTAAAATATATCCAAATACAAATACAGAGTCAGATCTATGTTTTGTCACATCATGCAAGTTGACGACGAGTTATAAGCACAATAGGAGCATCTTCAACCGATACTTCAAATCCTACTTGACACTTTAAAAGGCAAAAATTGAGACTGTCACGCCCCCAAAATAATACAGTAAAGATAACTTATTTGCGAAATAAATATGAGAAACAACATACTTTCATATATCAGAGTTCACTGTTTAACAACCAGTTAAATGCCATGTAGGCTTACATGTTTCCAATTCATTGCTTGGTTACACAAATTGAGGCTCACTCATTACATTTTAAGCCCTTGGCTTTACAAATAACAAACATACACACATAAGGCATAATTAAGAAGCTCTTGCTTCCCAAGACTCCATCCACGCTATTGCCTTGGAGGAAACATCTCACCTGTACTTGAAAATGGTATTCCCATATAGAGTGAGCCAACAGCCCAGTAGAAATAATCTAACACAATTTATGAGGTTTAGCAAAGGTATAAATACCACGTACATAAACAATACCGATCCTGAAACATCTACAAGACCTGCATATCCATATGCCACTAAGACCAACCTTATTCCATTTTCCTTTAATTTCATTTCCAGTTCATATATGCTACTCAATTCATGAGTTAAATTCGTTATCTTTCAACAATCAAAATGAGACTACAACTCAATGATTTTTCAATTATGAAAAACTCACATAAACACTTCAAACCTGCCATTTTATGGATATTTCGTCCGAAGGAATCGGCACCCACTTATATATAAAATTTTGGGTTTTTCACTCAGGACACTCCGGCCAACTTGCTTTAAATGGAGTCCATCCCCTTTCTCCTCCCAAACAAATATACATATACAATGTATTTATAAACATAATCACATATGGAATGCATCCCCTTTCTCCTCCCAATAAACATACATATACAATGTATCTATAACTTGGTCATATTCAATGACACCAACAATGGATTAGCATTAGAGAGAGAGATATATACAAAAAGTGAGGTTTTTAGAGAGAGAGATATATACAAAAAGTGACATTCAATCAGCCTAAAGAGAGAAGAAAAGGAAAAATTCCTGATCTACCTAACTTCCTGCACCTCCAACCGCACCTGCCTTTTTAGCAGTGTGCTTCAGCCCCCTGCCCTGTTTTTCGCATGTGCGGCCTCATTCCCCGCACGTGCGGCCTTCTCCCGCACTCCAGACCGACCGAACAGACAAGCAACTTTAAATGTGTTTTGCATTTTGTTTTGAGGGGCGCTGCCCCCTGGACCCCCGCGAGCTGACCGGGCAACTCGACCGCCGACCGGCCCAGTCAAAGTGACAAACACATGAAAGAAGGATCGAAACCAGGATTGCTACAAAGACTTCAACAAGCTCCAACCAAATAGCCAAATGTTTCGTAAATCTGACATGGCTAAAGTACAAATATAATAAAACAATAAAATTAGTATATTGTGTGGAGTGTTTCTTTTTAGAGATGTCAAATTTGCATATGTCAATTTACACTACAACAAGTTGGGTCTTGAATGGCGAAATTTTTTTGTCTTCAAAGAGCTAATTTCGTCACTATAGATATTTGTGAGGAAATATTTTCGTCACCAGTTTCGTCATTGAATGTTTGTCACTAAAAACCAACGTGACGAAAAATAATTTCGTCACCAATGAAATTACTTCAGTGACGAAATTTTTTGTCACCAATAAAACAACATTTTGTCGCCAAAAATTCTCATTTTCGTCACCAAATAGTTATTCAGTACCATATTTATAACTTTAGTTGACGAATAAATTTGTCACGCATGTTGATCATTGATGAGGAAATAATTTCGTCACAATAAGATGTAAAAGTGACAAAATTTTTCGTCTTCAAAAGTCATAATTTTTCGTCTTCAAAAGTCATACATGGGTGACGAAATATATTTCGTGACAAATATATATATATATATACGTGATGAAATTTTTAGTCACCAAACAACAAATAAATAAAAACTTTCATATATAAATTGCAGTAAATTGTCACAAAAAAGTTTATTAGTGACGAATAATCACTTTGTCATAATAACAAGTACAAATGACAAAACAAATTCGTCACTAAACTTGTTCCATATTTTATATTCAATTTAAATTATTATTTCACAAATATCCCTACTCATATCCCAATAGCCTTTTAATTGTACTAAGAAATCCACTAGCTATTATACATCACTCCACAAAAAAATTCACTAAACCATTTATATTATAAATCAAAATATATCCATCAAACAACTTTAATAATAATCCATTAAGTATCACAAAAAAACCATCAAAGCAAATCCCAAAATGAACTAACGTGGAGTCCACAAAAAAAAAAAAATCAATACTCAATCTTGATTTGCAACTACAACTAAGCATCAGTTTAGGGAAAAAAATTCAACAGTTGATCTTCATTTGCAATTATGCTTCCGAACGTCATCAAAACCAATCTGCAAAGAAAATAAACAAGGCAAACATTAATATATTATCAATTACATCTAAACTCATATATAAATAATTTTATTTTATAAACCAATTTAGTAGAAATGCATATAACAATTCAAAACTTCAAAGAGTTGAGGTGATCCTTGATGATAAAGCAACACGGAAATAGAGACTTAGTTGATGAGATGTATTACAAGCAGCTAGTGGGTAGTTTAATGTATCTCACTGCCACAAGACCGGACATGATGTTTGTAATACAGAACAAATAAAAAAGAAAAACATGGTAGTATTTTGCACATATTCAAATATACAAGTGCCCGTTATGTTTCACAAAATGATTTTGAATCCCAATGTAATTGAGCGTAGTTGCCTCAAATCATTTAAAATCACTGCAATGCCCAATATGACTTAACAATTATGCACTTGAATACCACTCCTATAAATGATAGAGAATTGCAAGCTAATTGAATTCGTACTCCTAGACCTTGAAATTGCTCCAATACTGCCTATAATTTGACAAAGTACATTAACACTTGAATACCATTCCTATAAATGATAGAAAATTGCAAGCTAATTGAATTCGTACTCCTAGACCTGGAAATTGCTCTAATACTGCCTATAATTTGACAAAGTACATTAAGCACTATAGCCACAACTGATTCAAAATGTGCTACAGGCTCCGTCTGTTTTTCAGGTCACAATTGAAAGCATTGTGAATGAGGGGATGTATTAGAAGCAAACATGCCATAATATGTCCGTAGGTGCAGCATCTTGTCAACAATGCGTGCATATTAAAGTTCTTACCAAAAATACATCAAGCACCAACCACAGTTCATCAAACTAGTTAAACCAGCCAAATCTTACCATAATTACAAAAAACATACAGGGACTTTCAACTTCTTCGAAGCTTTTAATATAAATCCTTTTGAATTGATTTACAAATTTTTTTGAAAATAACTAATGATCTGAAAACTTTAGATTACTTCTGTAATGATAATATAAGCTATTTTTTTTGTCAAAATCAAATACTTTTTCCACTATAATCTATTCTCACACTTCCTCGAATCACAAAATTCTTAAAAATATCTTTCAGTATACAAAGGTAAGTTAATAAATCTAAAACCTGCCACAATGCAAAGGCAAGGGATAATCCAATCCCCACACAAAACGAATCACAAGGGGTCATAGATGAATTCTGTAAGATATCTACTTGCTAATAATATCTGAGTATTCATCTGAGAAAAGTAAACAAACAATAAAATTTGTAATTGTAACACTATTCTCTTTGCTTTACTTTTTCTCGGTCAAAAATTTTCAGTTGAAGCAAATGGTGTAGTTAAGAATGCCTCAGCAAAGGCCAGCAAACATAAATCTAGGAATTAAGACAACATAATAGTCAATACAAGCATATGAATAAATTTACTGTTTGTAGAGACTATTCTAGT